TGTTACCCATCCCCATCACTGCTTCACATTACACCTTCCTAATTCAGCAACTTGGTGAGTTAGAGGAATTCACCTGAAGGCATTTAGCTGTAACCCTGTAGTCACATAATCCACTTGGGTCACTTGGCTTTAGGCACAAACAATATGTTTTCCCAGAGCTGTAAACTGGTGCTCAGAGCCAGGCTGAGGAGTGAAGTGCTGTACCAACACGGAGTGCAGCCACCCAGGCTGATGCCTTTCTCCACATACTGAGGTTAAGAAAAACCAACACAAGCACATCAGGCTGGAGACTCACAGGGCAAATCCTCTGTGCACATGTGAAGCGTTTTTGTAGGAATATGTGCAGAATGAATTTTAATTTCTCTGCTGTCTGCCCCCTTCACCTTCCAGAGAACCCAGGGCACTCTGAACACGATGAGGATGTTCTTCACCACATTCAAGTTCTATGGCAAAGCCTCAGTTCATGCTCCCTCCTGCAGCACTTTGCTGCTATTTCATATTGCTATACATATTAAAGCTCTTTCCTTGTAGCATACACAGCCTATTAGAACAATTTGTTTATAAACAGGACTAAACAGAGCCAATCTCTCCCAGCCTTATGTTACACAGAATTAAATGCTCTCTAATTTAACTACATGATGCAAGTGACGCATGGTGCCATCTACGTGCCCTTGGACAGGAGCCAGATGGTTTCCTTCCCACATCACACCACATCTCTTCTAGAAATAAACATTCAAGGGTAAAACCAGGGGAAAATACTCATATCCTTAATCCCCAGAAGAGACCCTGGGCCAGCAGCAATGAAGCATAGGACGAGCACCACCATACAGCACTGTCTGGATTGAAAGGATTCTAGTTTCTTATCAGCTGGCCAGAAGTTCACCTATTTTGCTCCTTTTCCTGGTCAACTTTCCCTTGTATCCCAGCAAAACAGCTCAGCTCTTGCAGACATACCTTACCATATTAGGCAATGTGAGCCCTGAAAGTGGAGGACTCTGAGCCTTCCTTGGCTTCCAAACACAGTCCACAGGCACAGGGCTGGCTGCATGACAGAGGGAAAGGGGCAGTAACGACTGGGGGCTCCCAGGGCTCCCAGTACACCCAGTCTGGCTACAACAGGACACTCACAAAACACCTAACAAAAGCTATTAGTGATCTTCTAGTTATTCATCACATCCATCTTTCACAAAAAGGCAAACAGGATGGTGACACAAGCTGAACTGAAGCCTCTGTGAAAAGATAAAGTGGCACTAAAAGCAAAAATATAGGTGAAAAATAGGACACACCAAAATCAGGACTCCCAGGTCATAGCTCTGAATCAGCAATAACATTAAGACATTGAATTGAACTTGTGGAATTAAGTTTAGAAATTCAGCCCTTCTAAGACAGAGATTTAATTTATATTGGTATCTAGTTGCATCTGGTGATTTCATGGTAACAGTACAAGTAGGCAGAACACTTATTTACAGACCAGAGTGAGCCTGGTTCATTCCATAAATCAAAGTGCAGGGAGACAGGAATGGAGCCTATTTAATCCACTTACTGCAATTGTAATTCACAATCAAACGTTTCAGTGCTATTCCTCCATAAAACTTAATTCCATTAGTGTGTCTGGGGTTTATATTGGGCTATACAGACTGTCCTGAAGGCAGTTCATGACAACAGACATTTTGTTTGATACTTTTACTGCTCAGAAATTGTGATTTTATGAACATAACGCTCAGTGTCTTCCTCTGAATTTAAAGTTTTCCTTTGACAAACTCTCCTGTGGGTGAGGTGCATCTGTAATGCTCCAGCACAGAACTGCAAGGAGAAACAATCCTTTAAATGATTATAAACATTTTCTTCTTGCTCCCTATGCTCTGTCATTTAAAATATACTTGTCTTCCAGATTTGTTCCTAATTGTTCCTGCTGTGCAATAGTAATGGCAGAAGTTTCCCAGAGAAGCTGTGGCTGCCCCATCCCTGAAGTGTCCAAGGCCAGGTTGAATTGGGCTTAGAGCAGCCTGGAGTAGTGGGGGTATCCCTGCCCATGGCAGGGGGTGGGACTGGATGGACTTTAAGGTCCCTTCCAACCCAAACTAGTCTGTAATAGATTCTATTATTTTAAGTCAGGGCCAAGTCAAAGCCAGCAGAGTCAGGGATAAAGAAAACCTGCTCTGAAATGGAACACTGGAACAATCTCTTTAGTCTTCATCATCATCCTCCTGCTGCATCCCAGACCAGCCCACTGATCCCCACCCACACTGACTGCTGCATGTGTCCTCACTGGCCTCACCAAGGCTGCAATTCCCACTGGTATTCTGCAGTCAATGGCTTGAGGGAACAGGGAAGGTTTCCCAGCTCCAGCCTCCCCCCAGCTCAGTCTGGGTACAACACAAGCTTTCAACTCTCCCAGTTTTTATTTTCTGAGTAACAGAGACAAGACTGTGGCCAAGCTTCTCCCCCACCTCTGTTTTGAGCTCAGGTCTCCCCAGACCACACAAAAACTCCTTCCTTTGCAGCTCCTTCCCACTGGAATCACGGAAAAACGTCTCCTAAAGCTGCATCCCCAGAGGCTTTTTCCAGCTGAAGTCCTTGTACCCTCGAACATTTATTCCACAATAAAACTTCGTCTGCTCTTCCAACTTTCCACAGTGCATCCAGGCAGTCTGTGTCCCAAGGAGGCAGCTGGGGTGGGAGCAGAACAAATGGAGGACACTGACACATCCCACTATGAGACCTCTTAGTTGCCTAAACCTCAGCCAAAGCGTCTGGGCTGGTTTCCCACTCTGGTGCTCATGAGCTCAGTCAAAATAATTCATCCACTTCTGAGAATTAGAACAACATGTATTTGCTCCTTTTTTTTCTTCCCAAAACTGCCTTTACCTTTCCTGTGCTAGTCTCCAGCACTGCAGAGCTTGGAGGAGGAATTTCAAGCAAGTCCTGTTTTTTGGTTTCCATGAAAATCATCCTGATATCAGCCAAGATATAAACAATGGAGGAAAAATGTAACCGTTCCCACAAAATCAGATTCTTTGGGGTTCTGCGACTAAAATGGGACACTCCAGACTGTTCAAGTTCACAACCTGGTGACATCTGGCAACTGCCATTCTAGAACTATAGTTACTGAAGAATTAATGATTATTAACTGTACTTTCTTATTGGCACTAGAACTGAAAACAGAGAGCTGTTCCATGATTCCTGCCAAAGGGATGGCCAGTTAGGACAGAAATCTGATTTGGATCTCAAATTAACTAGGGAAGACTGACCAAGTGACATGATGCTGGAGGCATGCATTCAAGAAAATAAACTGGGAACTGGATAAAAACAAGAGGACTGGGAAAATGGGAAAAACAGCTCTAGCAGAGTGGGAGGAGAGTCTAACCCAGCTGAAGGTACGCTGGGTGCATAAGAAACCACGGTGCTGGTGCCCTGAAGCACCTGCACAAAGGGGATGATGGAACTGAAGGGAAGTTGCTCTGCTTTTAGATGGATCCCACAAGAAAATCACGTGAAATGTTAAGACAAAAGGAATCCTTGCTGTTAATTTGGGGAAAACCAGCATTATTAATTGCAAGAGACTGGGTGACCTTGAGTTTTTGGGCAGCTGGATTCTCCCAAAGTGCAGCTTGTCCATTTACATGAGCAGTGAGGACTGTGCTCAATAAAATCTTCAGCAATTTTAGAACTAGACTCCAGGAAGCCTCCAAACCTGCAGCCTCAGCCACTCTTTTGTCTTAATTTAGGTAATCTGGGACAACTTCCCAGAAGAACAAGACATTCCCAGCAAGTCCCAAACATGCCTGCTGGAAACAAGGTGTCCCTATTATGATTATTACTTTTACACATTACAAAACTCCCCTCCTTCAGTCTTACTGTGAGGCAGCAGAAATGTCAAAACAATTTTAATGACGATAAATGGCCAAATCTTTGCTGCAGGGCTCAGTGAAGACTTCAGGAAGCTCTGCACTGTGATGAGCAGAAACTCCTGTGGGAAGAGCTGGCCTCCTTGAAGCAGGTGATGCTTCTGAGAGCAGGAATATCTCAAGTGGAGTAAAGTGCAAAGTAAGCATTGGGAAAGCAACGGCTGACATGGAAAGATAAGGACATACTAAACACCATCCCAGCACCACGTGAGTCTCTGGCCCCAGCAAGGCTTTGCCGCATTCTGACTGAATATTGCAAGAATGAAAACAAAAACAGAGTCTGAAGAGTGTAATTGCAAATTTTCAGCAAAGAACCAGTTAATTCCAACTAAATGATGCTTCAATCACTCTACTGCATTGCAAAGTATAGGGAAAGGCTCCCCCAGGTTCAAAGTTTCCCAGCAAAAATGAAACATCCCACAAGTAGGCTGACCCCTATGCAACCTTACATTTGCTATTTCTCCCAGGTCTTCCACATTGCACTTTAATAGCTTGGAATGTATTAAGCTTTGACATTGTCAGAGTCAGGCATATTGTCAGGCTCAAATGTGTTTCAGACAAAGACAAACAAAACCAAAGGAAATGAAGGTGATTTGGAAAGACTCAGTAATTATTATTAAATGAAAGAAAGGACCTCAAAGGATGAGACTATTGCAAGAACAGGGCAACACTGAACGACCTCTGATGTGCTGCTTGCAAAGGCCATTTTCCGCAAAAAAACAAATCCATGAGACAAGAGAGCAGATTTCAGAAATCCAAAACATCCTGTCCAAAATAGCAGTGATTCCAAGATCCAAGGTCACACCTTCCCCAGGACACATGGGATCCCACTGCCCTGGCAGTGCAGCCCCACCACTGCATTCCCTCCAGGCTCCACAACTCCTGTGCAGCTCTCCAGGAGAACATTGAACTCAGGCCACTCTGCAGATAAACCTCATCTTTCAGAAGAGAAATCAGTAAGGAATTTGCTGCTTGGAACTATCTGCCAGTTCATACTCCTGAGAAGAGCCTGAACTCTCTTTTAGACAAGAGTAAAAGCCACCAACACCCAAGACTGACACATCAGTGATTCAGATACGTAGTCTCACTTACCCGAGTTTCCTTCACTTCTTCATTTCCATCAACTTCATCTTCATCCTAGGAGGAAAGGCAAACAATAAAATTAGGTAGCTCTGGGACAACAAAACTTTATCCCAAGAAGATAATGTACTGTTTATAGAATCACAGAATCATTAAGGTTGGAAAAGACCTCCAAGACCAACAAGTCCAACATTTGACGGAACACACCATGTCAACTCCACCACAGCACAACGTGCCAAATCTATGTGTTTTTTGAACCCTACCAGGAATGGTGACTCCACCACTGCTCTGGGCAGCCTGTGCCAGTCCCTAACCACCCTTTCAGTGAAAAAATTATTTGATGCTAATGTTAGGAAAACTTCAGTCAAAAGAAATGCCTGTCCAAATGCTCTTGGCTAATTATCAGATCAGGTTTGGTGTCCTAATGGCCATTTAGAAGATCTTGGTATTGAGGACAGAATTGCTCTCTTGAGATGGCTCCTGCCATTCCAATGTTTCTGAGGAGTTGTGATGAAGTCCCTAATACACTGAGGGAAAAATACTTGGAAAAGCTGCAGATCTGAAATATTGTCATAATACTGACTTCCAAAAGTATCTCCAGTTCAGTTAGACTCCAGGTGGAAAGACTCATCATCCCAGGTATCTTGCACTTGTATAGTCTCTCTAAGCCACTGCCCTTTGTAACTGCTCCAGGATTTCATGGAGCAAATGTGAACTACCATGGCATCCCAGCTGATTCTGGACTCAACTCATTAACCATAATTTCATAATTCTTATTCTCTCCTGGAAAAGGTGATCTATTTTCCTAGCTGAGGCTCTAACCAAAGTTTGGAGGGTTGGATCCCTTCCCTCAGACTGAAGAAATCCTCTGAAACCAGGACTAAGAGAAATGACCACGACACAGACAGCTCTTCTGCACTTATGCTGTGAGTGTTCTTTGGTGCTGGGAGGGGATCCAAACACGAGTTTTCTTCCCATTGTCTTTCTTTCAGGGGGCCTAAAAAGCAGACAAATTTGGGCTTGAAGAAACTTGAAAATACTTCAGGTGGCTTGTGACCTCCTTCCAAAGGAATCAGACTTTGAATCTCTCCTCTCCCATGTGGGCCCTCTCCCAGTCCTGCAGGGTTCCCATGACATGGCTCAGGAAGAGGCTGCCCTCAGGAACAGCCTGCTGCTCGGTCTGACACAGGCCAAACAGGGACGTGAGACCTTTGGATATGCCAGTCTAAAAGAGAGCTGCAGAGGGAAGAACTAAGGGGAAATCAATGGACTGGGAAGAAGATCATGAAGCTTGGAATAGGAAGAAAATTCACTCTGGATTTTCTTTCTAAGGAACTCAAACTTACATCTTGTGTTGAGAAGATGATGCCGGTGCCTCTCCGTCTCTCTTTTGGCCGCCGCCGCTCCCGGATTGACTGTTTGTTCAGGGATTTGTCGTCTGAATCCTGATCTTCACACTCTGGCCAAGCAAAGAAAGACTGCTTTGGTTTCAGTGATTTACATCTGTGCTTTTCCTACGGTTCTGGGGTTCTTTTCAAGCTGACCAAGGTCATCTTGCCTTGTGTTATATTACAAAGAAGTTATTAAAGCAAATTAAATGGACTCTCAGTGTCCTACTACAGCTGGATTCTCACACTCCTTCCCTCATCAGAGCCAGGGAAGTTACCCCAGCTACCAGTTCTCCCCAGGTCATCCTGATTTACTCCTGTTCTGAGGACAACCTGTACTAAGGGAACCTCTTTCCCTAGTTCTATTAGCTAAATGCTCCATGACCACTGTCTCATTTATTTATCCAAAATGAAAAATATCCCTTTATCCCTTTGTTACAAGCAATAGGAATTTGTTTAACTTCATTTAAACAAATAACATTTGTTTTGTGACGTGGCAGCTTCCCTCAGAGTAACAAGTAAACGTGTTCTCTCCATCTGTACACACTGGAAGTTCTAAACCAGCTCAAGAAAACCCCTGAGCTCTGTCTGTTCTTCACTCTCCTGGTACCTACCATTTTTCTCCATCTCTGTGCCTGCCGCTCTGAAATCTGCTGGATTCACAGAGTCCAGCCCTAGATATTTATTTGTTCGAGTCAGGTATGAGCTTGTATAGAGCAGAGGTGCTGCTGTGGAAGGAGACACAGGTGTCGTGGGTTTGTCGGGCTGTGCTGAGCCCCTCAATCGCCGATAGACGGTCTAGAAACAAAGAGCCATGACAGAAAAATAGTACAATGAAAAGGAAGTACCAGATTTTGGATTTCAGGGAATGCATTAATTTTTCAGAGTGCAATGTTTTCCTCACTGCTGCTGGAAGCGATCACCTGCACTTGCTAGATCAGGACCATTCTATCAGATAAGTATGGATGTTAAAGTCATTGCACAGCTACAGTGTAAAAGCACTCTCCACAGCTGGGAGATCTGGGATCAATCCCTTTGTCCCTACAGCTCATGGCAGGAGACACAAGTTATCTAATAGAAAGATATGATTTAGAGGGGAAAAAACCAGAGGTGGTGGCAGGGGCAGAAAACTGGTCTCTCCAGCTTTCCATTACACATTGACCATCTGTGGAGAAATGTGAACACAAAGCCTCTGCCTAGACTGCACAGCAGGATGGATCCAGGCCACATTTCTATCATTAGCCTTCTCATTACACTTTCTGGGATTTACACCGTTTTATTTTCTGGCAAGAGACAGAAAGGTGAAATTCCCAGAGGAGAGCAAAGGCAGAGCTAAGCTCCAGCACCTCCACATGCACCTCCCTCATGCTGAACTGCTGCTTGTCAGTCAGCAACGCCTCTTTCCAGCCAGTCTGTCCCACTCAGAATAAAAAGATAACTGCCAATGAATATCTCCTGATGCCAGCTCTCCTAAGTGGTTTTGCCAACGCTCAGGCAAGGGGGACTGAGGCAGAAGGATCACCTCGTCGTCCGTGCTCCGTCCCCAGCGCGGGCGGCTCTCCGTTCTGTCACCGCTGTCCTCGGCTCTGTCGCCCGGCGGCTCCTGCGCCTGGCGCTCCGCCCGCGAGCGGCTGAACGTGCGCTCGGCCTCCTGCAGGTCCGTCAGGGTCACTCCCTGCAGGAAACATCAGCCTTCCGTTCGTGCACAGAATCACAGAACCCCACACTGGTTTGGCTTGGAAGGGACCTTAAAGCTCATCTCATCTCACCCCCACCAAGGGCAAGGACACTTTCCACTAGCCCAGGTTGCTCCAAGCCCTGTTCAACCTGGCCTTGGGCACTTCCAGAGATCCAGGGGCAGCCACAGCTGCCCTGGGCACCCTGTGCCAGGGCCTGCCCACCCTAATAGCTAAGAATTCCTTCCCAATATCCCTTCTAACCCTGGCAATCAGAAGCTCTTCCCCCTTGTCTTGTCCTTCCAGGTCCTTGTTCAAAATCCTCTCCAGCTCTATTAGAGTCCCTTTAGGCACTGGAAGGGGCTCTAAAGTCTCCTTGGAGACTTCTCCAGCCTGAAATTACATTTTCAGTCTTCCGTGTCAGTTTAAAATGACACAGACTCACATCTGGTCAGGCTCATGTTTCATCCCTATGGTAAGAGAAAGGGAAGAATTCTGTTGCCTTTACTGTATTTCTCAGCCTACTGACATAATCACTGACTCAAAGAAACCCAAATATATGTGATCACACTACAAACTAAGAGGCAGGCACATTGCAGAAAGCAAAGCTTGGAAATCTAACTCATGTATGTCTGTGGGAGGGTTTTCTAATAACCGCTTGAAGGAAATTTTGCCAGAACCTCTCCAAAACAGTGTGAGTGCAGACAAGTCCCTTGTCCTAAGAAATAACGTAACAGAAACGAAAATCCTGCCTCTTTACAGAATGAAGGAATGGTTTGGATTAGAAGGGACCTTAAAGTCCATCTCATTCCACCCAGTGCCATGGGCAGGGACTCCCTCCACTATCCCAGGTTGCTCGTAGCCCTGTCCAACCTGGCCTTGGACACTTCCAGGGATGGGGCAGTCACAGCTTTTCTGGGCAACCAATTAAGCAGCTCTCTTCATCCTACACATGAATGTGAACATTTCCATTCTTTACCTGGGTAGACCTGCGAGTCTGCCGGGCCTGTCTGGACCGTGCCTTCCTCAGTGATTCTGCTTCCTCATCCCGCACCGGAGTCAGATATGACCTGGAAAAAAAGAAGATGCAGAAGAGGTTAAAGTAAAAGCAGATGATCTGCCTTCCTGTCTCTGTAGACTCCTGAGCTATTATTCTTTTTCTCATGAACAAAAATTAATTTTATCTCCATATGCTATTGCTGTTTCTTTGGGACAACTTCCCCATGAGCACACAATACACACGTGATGACAGCACCTTCTCCCCAGAGCCTCTCAATAAACCCTGTAGTGTTGGACATGCTCTGTTAAAAAGGTGCACCTATTCTCTAGATTATTTGCTCCATTCCAAATCATTGCATCATTAGGAAAAGAACCCCACTCCTCATAAACACCCTCTCACTCAGACAAAAATCTCAGAACAGAAATCCTGCACTGGTGCATTTCTCAGACGCTCCTTCCTGTCATTATAGTCACGATCATATTCCTGCAATCTGCTGCCTTCATCAATATGAAACCCATCACGCCAGGAGCCACTGAACTGCAGGCATCACAGAGACACACACACCTTGAAAAGAGCCACGGAAATAAAGAAATGACCTTCACACTCTGTAAACCTTAACACTGAAAAACCCACAGTTAAACACAGACTTCTGCACAACTAGATTTCATCAAAGCTGGGAGAATTCAAAAGAATTATTCACATGAAAATACATAAACTGCATCCTCTGCCCTGGCATTCACTGGGAGGAACTGGTGAGGAATTGAGCAGTGCTTTGAATCAAGGAGTGCACAGCAGTAAATGATTTCCATGCTGGAGGAGAGGCTTCAGTCTTATGAACAGTTAATTAAACTTCGCTCTTCAGACTGGTTAATATGGAATGATTATTCACACTGTCCCTCTGTACAGGGATGAGGGTGCTGGAATGCTCTTTGCAGGTCTATCACTGTCAGGTTAACACTGTACCAGAGGTCTGCATGTGTTCAAAGGGCAGTGAGCTAAGTGAGGGATGAAGGTGAATACACTTCCTTTGTCCTTGGACTCTTTTCCTGGTTTTAGTCCACCACCTTCATGGGAAAGGTAATGGGCTGAAGAGGATTTGCATCTGATCCAGCATGTTGACATTTATTAGAAAGTTCACTACACTGCTGCACTGTGACAAAACGACAGAGAATCCGGACATTTGGATCATTCTACAATAATCTTCCATGGTGGGTTTTATCCACCCCCAGGACCTGTGTTCAGTGCTGGTTCTGCTGTGCAGCAAAACAGCCTGGCTTCCAGAGAGGAATCCCCTTTACAGGGTTTCTTGGCTTGCAGGAGGTACAGACAGTCACCTCCCAGCTCCTCAGGTGTTGTGGGGCTCATGTGAGAGCCTTCTCACCTGAAAGTGGTGCAGGGATTGACCTGATATATAATGTGCTGAACATCCCTGATCTCCAGAGGCCAAGGCAAGTGCAAAGGATTGAGTCTGTGCCAGGGATAGCTGCACTGGAGACTCCTGGAGGGGCAAGCACTGATCTCTGCTCTCTGTGACCAGGCACAGGACCCGAAGAAACGACATGAAGCTGTGTCAGGGGAGGGTTAGGCTGGGTATTGTGAAAAAGATTCTTCTCCCAGAGGGTGCTGGGCACTGCCCAGGCTCCCTAGGGAATGGGCAGGGCCCCGAGGCTGCCAGAGCTCCAGGAGCATTTGGACAATGCTCTCAGGGACAGAGTGGGATTGTTGGCATGGCTGTGTACAGCCAGGGGCTGGACTCAATGAACCCTGAAATTATTTCCCACTCAGGAGATTCCATGATTCTTTGAACTGTGCCCTGGGAGCTGCCTGCAATGGAGACGAGGGCTTGCAGAGCTGCAGTCCCAGGGTGTGATTTATCACCTTCACAAGGAGCCTCCAGCACAACCATGTGCATGCACTGCAGAGGAGCTCATTTCTTCCCATTGATTATCCAGACAGACACACGAGCTGTGATGGATATGCCAACATGGGAAGCGCCTACACTTCAGAGGGATGACTGTCTCTCAAGGATCTGCTGTTTCATGAACAAAAAAGCTGCTGTTTGATGAGTGAAAGCTGTGCAACTCCTAATTTTGCAGAGCAGGAGCTCTCCTGCTCTCTCTGCTGCAGTGTGTGCACTGTCCAGGTAATGGCACATTAAGGAAACAATAAGCATTTTCTGCAGCTTTTGACACAAGCAGAATCACTGCTGTTTGCCCAGCAGTCAGAAGCAATAAGCCACCCACAGGAAGAAGGCATTTGCAAAATATACTGCTAATGAAGTTCAGAGCAGTAGTAAAATAATATAAATTCCTGAAATGTATAAACCAAGTAAATTTGTAGTTCAGTATAGCAGGCACTTTGCTGCAATGGCTTAGAATCACTGGAATTTAAATCAGTGGAATTTACTCTGCAATGAGGACGCAGGTATATAGGAGCTACACGTATAGAGAGGACAAAACAGGTTTTCAAATGAGTTTCAGGAATGGTTTGGCAAATCCATGGGGACCAGGTCAGCCCTAGGCGTGGGGAGGGGCTCTGCAGAAGGGGCAGCCCAGGCACTTGCAGGAGGCTCCTAGATTTCCTTGGTGCAGTTCAGCCACAGCTTTGCTTTGGGTATGGCAAGATAAAAAGCGTTTTGGGTCTTTTACCCCATCATCCTCCCAGGCTTTTTCCCCCATGCTCCCCCAGAATTTATAGAAAAATACAGCCATCTTACAGCGTCATTAGCCATTCTGGGAGTCCAACCTGTAAGAGGGACTTGATCTTCAGCTGAGCACATCCTGCAGGTCAGCACGGCTCAGCCTGGGCCGCAGCCGCAATCATTCACCAACTTTTGGGTTCTTTCCATTTACACAATTCATCACTTCCTGGAGCTCACCCAAAGCCATTTACAGCATGAGATAACTGAATTTTCTGAGGCAAGTCAGCAGAGCCAGTGCACAGTGACAGAGCTGGTTTCTGCAAGGGAGCAGACACAGCCTGCTCTAGGGACCAAAGGAGGGGCTCTGCTGTCAGTACCTGTAACTGCACAATGCAGGCCCAGGTGTGTCCTGCTTGGGACCCTGTGTGCTTTGCTTTTTAATTTTGGGGCAAGGTAGAGAAAATACAGATTTTTTTACAACGTGTGACTTTGCTTACAAACTGAATTTTGAGAGACCTGAGTGTGCTAAATGGGCTGGAAGAAAGAGAGAACAAATGCACAGGAAGGAGACGGCGAGTGGGATGCAGCTCAGGGCTGGGCTGGATGGCACAGGCACAGCAGCACACTGCTCTCCAAAGCAGAAACACTGCAGAGCACAGCAGGCTGCAGGGCACAAGCACCAAATGGGGTGTGAGGCAGCTTCTGAACAAGCCACAGAGTTTTTAATTATGTTTTAAAGGAACATGCTGCTGCCTCAAGTGCAGAGCCTGTGTCACCCTCTTAATTCAAGCAAGTATCTCAGGGGCAAAGCAGATCTTCAAAGGAAAGGCCCTATGTGTTGTGTTTCCTTGCAATAAGCTTTCTCTGAAAAATACTTGCAATAAGAGCAGCCATCACACCAAGCTGAAGGCATGTATAAAGCAGAACAGATTTTTACCAGAGTTTTGGCTGTAAGTTCAAGGAGAAGAATAGAAATTGTTCAAGATGTGTATGTGAGAGCTAACAAAACCACTGCAGAGGTTTACAACCCCCACAGACAGAGAAAAGTGTGTCCTGCTGCCCTGAGAGAGCTACAGGCTTCTGGTTTGTATATTACCTAGGAAAAAAATCTGGTAACTGACTGACTAACTTGTCTCCCACTTAATTCTGCCTATTTTCAAGAAAACACCTATTTTCATCTGTCAACTGTTTCATCAAGGATAGCGTAAAACTCAAATGGCTCCCAACTACTCATCACCACATCAAGGCAAAAGGAGCTGCAATACAATTCTAATAGAAGGGGAGATGCCACCAAGGAAATAGGAAGGCTGGATATACAGGTTAGTAAACCAGGAGAATAAACATACAGAAGAAAATCTGTATGTTAGAGAATGCTTGCCAGAAGGAAAGAAAATACTGTGAGGAGAAACCCCTCCCAAGTCAAGGGTGAATGATACAGAAAAGGGAGGTACAATGCCCTGCTGGTTGGTGCATGGGTAACAAGAACAGAAGATTGGTTTCTCCAAGAAACATACAGTCGTATGACAATCCTTTTATGATACTGGTTTCCATCCTGCCATCCTGAACTCCTTCAGGCTCTCAGAGCTTTAAATGTTTCTGGCAAACACCATTCACCACCATGGAGTCCTTTGGCAGAACATCACCAAGCCCCAGAGGGAGCAGCAAGAATGTGCAAAACCTGGAGTTTTACATCACCTGCATGTGGCAGAGCAGCTGTGGCTGCCCCATCCCTGGAAGTGTTCAAGGCATGGCTGGAAGGGGCTTGGAGTAACCTGGTCTAGTGGAAGGTGTCCCTGCCCATGGCAGGGGATGGAATTAGATGAGCTGTAAGTTCCCTTCCAAACCAAACCTTTCTGGCATTCTACGAACACCTGGCAACAAATTTGGAAGCTAAACATTCACCAAGTTCTACAGCTGTGCTCTTCTCAGAATTTCTTCAAGCAATTTTGTTCTTCTGTCAGGACTGAAAATTGAGATACACCCCACCCCCAACGTGAGCTGCATTGGGCCATGACAGGTTCCCTCCATCCCTGTCAGGTCTTTCTCCAATAAATCCAGGTCCTGCAGCCAGCACAGTAAGAACATGAACTGCACACAGTAACTGGTTCATCATCACCGTTTTCCCCAGTCTCTGGAAATGAGACTCTGCTGGTCATGACCTGGAGCTGGGCTTAATGGGGCTCTTCTGATGTAAAGCTCTTCCCAGGCCCTCTCCAAATCTTCTCACCTCTTTCTAGCTTAGAAGTGACTCTGAACTACACACATTAGACTAGAACCAACAGTGACAGTTTTCTTGGAAGCCAGGACAGACTTCTGGCTCTTCCAAATCCAGGTAACACAGGTAAGGGGAGCCAGGCACAGGATTGGCTCCCTGTCCACAAGGAGGTGTGTTCACCACATGGAGAGCTATGTGGTTACTTAGACTTAAA